TTTAGGTAACATGGACATTTTAACTATGTTTATGGCCAACCATTACTCAACGTTCACTCTCCCATTAAATGATCCTCTCCCATGTAGCTTTTCTCCACCTCACGCCCAGGTAGACTCAAGCACACCTCCCTCTGAGCTCTTGCCTTCCTCTCCCCACACCTCTGAGAAAACACTTTTTATGTTGAATGCAGCTCATCACTGCCCTGTTCATCTGCCTCATCAGAGGAGGAGCACCTCAAGGCAGAGCCCCATCTCATCCTTCTGTCTCCTGTGAAGAACAGTAAATGTTAGCCCAGTGAAGAGATGGAGCAATAAAGGAACAGACATACAAGCCAGGGCACAGGTTTGAGGAGAAGCTGCTTAAAGGAATACGTAGACGACTTTTTAGCATCATAGCATGTCATTTAAGACTGAAAGGGACCTCTGATGTTATAAACCTGCTTATTTCCAGATGTGGGGACCACATTTTAAATGCTGATGGCATCCCAGATGTAATTTTCTTTTGCACTCTTTTATTTGCAAAAGATTGTTTTTGGGCTTTTAGAGAATACTTCTTTTTCCTTCTAACTTAAAAGTATCTTGGTAGTGGAATTTCTTAGTTAGTTAATATAAATGAAAATCCGACCTCAGAGACAGCACACACCCACTTTCCCAAGTGCACAAGTAGCCTATCATCTCCAACCATATATTTAACCCGAATTGCCTTTCCCAAAAAGGCTTTTACAGGAAGCAAAATTAATTTTTAATTCTTCTTCGCCTTCACCACTTTCTGCCCACTTTGTATTTCCTGTGCAAATGGCCCAGGAGTTGTAGGCAGGAGAAGAATTTGAGGTCTGGAATCTCATCAGTCAATGCTGTAAAAACTCAAAAAAAGTCTTATGTATTTTCTTTTTGGAGGTAATTTTTATGAGATGGCCATAATATTTGGTAATCATTTTGAAACAGAACACTGGATATGGATGAGGAGAGTGCCTATGAAAAAGTTTTGCTAGCACAAACGTTGTGGAAACAGGTAGTCAGGGCAACAATCATACTTTTATTAGGAGTGAGAGAATAAGGTTCAAGTTCTGGCTGGACTTTCCATTGTTTATGAACCTTCAGAGGGTCTATTTCACGTGTGATGGATTGGTTGTGATCGGATCATGATTTTGGGCTGAAAGCCCCTCCCTTTCGTTGCTAAAGTCCTTCATGTCCTTCGTGCAGAATTCAATGTGAGCTCGAAGTGGAGCGTTCCCCAGGTGAGCTGTGAGCGCTGCCCGCAAACCTGGTTGTCCCCATCTCTTGAAATATGGTCGGAATTAGTGAAAAGAAAGGGGGACATGCCTTTTGCAGGGATCCTGTTAGTGTAGTTGTTCACGTCGGACACAATGTCTTTGTCTCTTTTCCTGTCTTACGGCTCTTCCAGGCCTCTCGCCTGTCTCCTTCCCCGCCCACCTAGCCCGTCGTTGTGTGGCCTGGTTTGTGTAGATCTGCCTATTAATGTTAGTATTAACCAGTGCTTGCAAAATTAACCAGTTACAATTTAAAAGAATTGTATTATCTGATCTCCTGAACCCAGATTCAGTGTGTCACGGAGGAACATAATGCATGTTTAACCCTGACTCACCAGAGTAGGAGGCAGTGAGTGAGGCACTTGCTGTGTGCCACCCTTTGACATCCCAGCCCTGTCCCCCTCAGTAAATAACCGCATAAATAATCAGAGTTCTGTATTTCCTTGTTGCCTAGTAGTACCTGCTAATCCTCAGAGAGGACGTGAACATGCTTCATTTCCTCCCGTGATATCTGCCCTTCCTCTTTTGCCAGCTCTGGCTTTACGTTTCGTCCTGTCTAACCTGTTTGACTATCCGTGTTGGTCCATCATAGTTTGAGTTACAGGGAGTCACTGTGGAAATAGCGGGCAGGCTAGATTCTCCCACATGGCCAGAGCATCCCTGACCTGACCCCGTGTTCTGTGGGTGCTTTGAATAACATCTAAGCCTTACAGAGTGCTTACTACCTGCCGGGTGGTGTTCTTGCCACAGGTGAGGCAGGTGCTGTTATCCTCTCCAGTTTCTGAGTGAGGGAATTGAAGCTCAGTGAGGTGGTTTCTTGCCCAAGGTCACATGGTTAATAAGCAGGGGAGCAAGGATTTGAACTCAAGCAGTCTGTCCCCAGGGCCTGGTCTCTTAACCCTTCAAGTCCTCTGTTCTCAGTCGGTGATTTACCATGATCATTGAGTGTAACAGCGATAGACAGTGGGACTGAAAATTCAAATGGAGTGTGTGCCCAGTTACATGTGAGCTGGAAGTGCCCTTTAATTCCTTCGACCAGATCAAACATTGTGGTGATAGACAAGTAAATGGGGAAAGAAGGTGGACGTGTGGATAGAGAAAGGAAAAAGTGTAGGGAGAGCAGTATTTTGGGACACGGACACTATAAGTCACATAATTAAAGATGTTAACTGTAATGAGCAGCACGGCCAGTAGAGAATGTGAGCCTCCCAAGCTGTTTGTTCTGCTTCTTTGAAAACTTATGATGCTCGGATGAGGATGTGGGGGAAGAAATGACAGAATTCTTAGAACTGTTAAATGGTGAGACGTCTGATACTGGAGTGAAGGACAAAAGCTCATGAAAGAATCATGAGGGACACATACATGCTTTATCCAGTTCCATGAAGATGACAACTTATCGTTTTAGTCCATAGCCTACTTATTAAGTTTGGAGTTGATAAAATGCAGCAGATTTAACTTGTCTTACCGCATTCAGCTGCATTTGTTAAAACACAGACGTTCATCTTGGGTGGCGCTTTAGCTGGGTTTGTTTTTACTGAAATAAAATTGCTGGCACACGATAATGGAAAAAAAATCCAGAGTTTCATCATATGCAGTGTACTGTTTTCTACACTGGAGAATTTTGAGTGCTTTGGAAATAATAAGTCTGTTTCCACAATTTCCTGCTCTCCACTAGGTTCTGGGAACGCCAAATGAAGACACGTGGCCTGGAGTGCATTCTTTACCACATTTTAAGCCAGGTATGTTTCATTAATTACACATGACTATGCTTCCTATATGCAAAGGGTGAATATGTAAATGTTTCCCTTCAAGTTAATGTGTTACCTTGAAAAATTCTGGTTCCTTTTGTCATTGTGTATTCTGCCTATTAGTGGAGTTGTCCCTTTGTTTTCACAATTCATTTGTCTATAAAGATAGAATTAACGACATCCCTCATGAGAGATGTTCACCATGTGTACATTGTTTGATTTGACTGGCTAATCTTGAAGTAACCATTCATTTCATCATCAGTTAGGCTAGCATTCATGTCTATAAAGGCAAAATTTAAATGAGGGTGCTACAATCCGTCTGTGTGACTTGTTGTAGTAATACAAGAAAAGTATTAAATCATAAAAAGGAAAACATCACATTCTGATTTATTTTTAAAAAACTAGTAGTCTATGGTCAATTAATTTGAGTTTAAATATATAAAATGTTCTGAATGTCCTATTGTACAGCATTCAATCTTTTTAAATGTAAAATATTTAAACACCTAAACTGGAAAATCTGAGAGAAAATGCAGAACTTTTAAATAAGTTGTCACTTTTTTTTTCCAACAGTAGGTGGCAGTCAAGAAACTTTCAGTTTTAATGATAACACTTAACAGAGGAAGAATCTCAAACATAGTTTATTTAATTTTTATAGGAGGGATGAAAGGTTTGGAATTGGAAATTTAATAACAATCAGTGGAATGAATTATTTTAAAATGGTTCTCTTGTTAGTTGTTTTTTTTTTCTTTTCTTGGTTACAAAACACGGATTATAAAATGCAGACCCACCATAAAATTACTGAAAGGGATTTTATGGAAGATCTAATAGTCCATTATTTTATGAGAGAAAAGAACTATGAATATTTTCTCTTATGGGATCCAAGTATATTCTTTTTCTCCTCTTCCCCTCTGTTGGGGAACCATCAGGAATAAATTATCAATCCCAAAGAATGACTGAGCTGGGAAACTATTTTTATTCTTAATATTTTTCTTCTGAAAGTGTACAGTGTACTGAGAATTCTTTTATCTTCTTCAGCTGCCTCAAGAACTTTTTGTACTTTTACTGAAATTTTTAAATAACTTCTGTGTTCTAAAAGACTATAGAAACTTAACAACTTAAGATGGGTTTTTTCCTTCTTTTTTTAACCAAGCAAGAAGCAGCCACTAACCGCTCCTGTTGTTCCTAATGGAGTATAAGTGAGACACAGCTCTTTATAAATGCCCCGGGTGTGGCCTCATACAGAAGGTTAGCTTCCCCATGTTAGTATCTAACGTCTTAAGTCCTAGGGAAGTAAAACAGAGGAGACGCTGAAGAGATTTTAAATGAATAAAGTTAGATGCAGACAGGAACAGTTAAGACAGCCATTTGGCCTGCCAAGTTTCTGCACTAGAAAACATGGAGTCATTTGTTTACTTTGGTGTGAATAGAATTTATCTTCACCAACAACATACAAAAGCATTTATTAAATATGTTCTGGAAAGTACTATGATGTAGTGCAAATTAAGCTAACAGATTGGGAACTTCATGACATCAAGGACTATGCATAGTACATATTTTGGGGTTCAGTTAATGTTTGTTGCCTTGAATTATATTGAATGTTTAAAACAGACATTATTTATGTGACTCTTCTGGTAGACATATATAAATTAGAATGTATGTGTTTAAGTTATTAATATCATATACAAGTGCCACTACAGACACATAATACATAGAAGGTAATGGGGGTCTAGAAGAATACCATGTTTAGATGGTGTAAGGCATGGGTGCTGACAAGCAAGAAAGATAATCCGGGCAAAACTTGGGGCTTGTGGATAAGAGTAGATGTGATGAATTCTTCCTGAGTTGGCTTGAGAAGAGTCAAGGGGAGAAAAGATCATAGACTGAGGCAAAGGAAGCAAATCTATGCGTCTCTTCATGCACCACTTACCCAGACCATCAGGGAGTCCTGCTCTCTGACCTCCTGGACCTCATACTCCAGGGGAAGAAGGTACACGTTCCCAGAGGCGAAAAATATCAGTGCTAGAGTCCACTTGCCCCACCCCCACTCTCCACCTCCTTATTCTACCCCCAAAGGGTGCCTTAGAAAGTCTGAGGGAAAACAGAAACGTCTGAGCCATGAGGACATGCTTCGTTTTGTTTTGTTTAATAGATTTTATTTTTTAGAGCAGTTTTAGATTCATAGCAAAATTGAGCAGAAGGTACAGAGATTTCCCATATACTCCCTGGCCCCACACAAGCACAGCCTCCCCATTATCAACATCATCCACTATTCTGGTACATTTGTTAAAATTAATGGACCTCTGTTAACACATCATTATCACCCAAAGTCCATAGTTTACATTAGGATTCATTCTTGGTGTTGTACATCCCACAGGTTTGGACAAATGTACAATGAACGACATGTATCCACCATTATAGTGTCATACAGAGTAGTTTCGCTGCCCTAAAAAATCCTCTGTGCTCTACCTATTCATCCCTCCCTCCTCCCCAACTCGTGGCACACTGATCTTTTTACTGTCTCTACAGTTTTGCCTTTTCCAGAATGTCGTGTAGTTGGAATCATATAAGATGTTTGCCTTTTCAAATGGGCTTCTTTTACTTAGTAATATGCATTTAAGTTTCCTCATGGCTTGATAGCTGATTTCTTTTTAGCAATGAATATTCCATTGTCTGGATGTACCACAGTTTATTTATCCATTCACCTACTGAAGGACATCTTGATTGTTCCAAGTCTTTGCACTTGTGAATAAAGCTGCTATAAATATCTGTGTGCAGGTTTTTGTGTGGACATAAGTTTTAAACTCCTTTGAGTAAATACCAAGGAGTGAGATTGCTAGATCAGACGTATGTTGCTTAATTTTTGAAGATTATAAATTTAAGCAATTCAAAATATCCAACAATATAAAATAGCAGCATAGTGCGAAGCCTCCCCTCCCCTGTCTGTCGTCTGCCCACTTCCCCAGAACCGCTGCCCCCACCGCAGTCCCGCGTTTTATTAGTTTCTTATGTTTCTTTTCTTTATGTGAATGTAAGACATTGCGAATATATAGTTTTATATTTCCCATATTAAACACAATTCGGGGTCTTGCTTTTCTCGTTAATGTATCCTGTCAGTCTTCTCATGTCACTATAGAGAGGAGCCAGTGAGGCGTCCCTCTTCCCTTACAGCTGCATCATTTTCCATTGTATGAATGTCACCTGTTCGCTACTTAAGGATATTTGGGTTGTTCCCAGTGCTTTGCTATGATGTATATTATAACCCTGTACTTATACACATTGCATGTATGCAAGAATGTGTGGAGGATAAATTACTAGAAGTAGGATTAAAGAATCAGTAAGTATATATAATTATAATTTTAAACAATTCTGTCAAATTACTGTCCAAAAGGGATGGTACCAGTTGGCTTTGTTACCAGCAATGCAGGAGAATGCTGCTTCTCTACTCCACAGGCCAAACTCTTAGATCTCTTCAATCTGCTAGGTGACAAAAGGAATCTCAATATAATTTTAATTTGCATGCTCCTTTTTATGATGAGGTTGAGCTTCTTTTCATATGTTTCAGGATCACTTGCATTTCCTTTTTCGTGAACAGTTAATATCTTTTGCCCAATTTATACTTGTGTGTCATTTTCATATCAATTTCTAGGGGTTCTTTATATATTTGAGAAAGTATCCCTTTGTCTATGAAGAGCTTTTGCTACTCTGGAATGTTAAAATCTGATCCTTTCCAATTTTTTAGCAATTTTGAAAATAATCTTCACTCTGAAATCTTGCTTGACTCACCTAAGTGAATGAATTCTGCCTTGAGAGAAAAAAAGCCATGGTGGTTTAGAATGGTGGAGTCATTATATATTTTTAAAAATTAATTGCTGTTATAGGTATATGTATAAATTTATATATGTACCTTTGTAGGAAAAACCAATTTATGTTTTCAAATCGATTATTTTAAGGCTTTGATCTAGGTCAGGAATAAAACTAAAAAGATGAGTCTCTTGGTTTCAACATATTCTAATCTAATTACCTAGTAGGTCTTTTTTGTTTTTTTTTTTAAATTAACTTATTCTTATAGTTAATTTCTATAGAATAAGTTAAATTCATTTATTAATTCAACAATATGTATTGAGCACCATTTGTATGGCCAGGGAGTGGGGATATTGCAGTGAACAAAACACACAAGATCCCTAATAGGTAGGAGAGACATATAATCAGTAAAATATGTAGTATATCAGGTGGTGATGAGTACTATGGAGGAAAATAGAGCAAGAAATGGGTTCAGGAAGTGCCGGGGAAGGGGGTGGTTTACAAATGTATCGAGAAAGGGCTCACTGAAAAGATGACATTTGACTGAAGGACATGAGGGAGAAAGCCATGAAGATATTTCAGGAAAGAACTTTCCAGACAGAGAACAGAAAGTACACAGGCCCTGAAGTAGGAAGGAGAGGGGGTAGGAAATGTGGTCAGAGGGAACAGGGGCTGCGGCAGGTCATGGAGGACCTGGAGGGCTGCGAGGAGTCCTTCACCATTTACTCTGAAGGAGACAGAAAGTGCTGGAAGGTTTTGAGCAAGGCAGCGTTCCATTTTAGTAAGATCACCCTGGCTCTTCTGCTGAGCAAGGGGGGCCAGGGCAGAAGCAGGGAGACCAGTGAGGAGACTGTGACAGGAGCCTAGCGGAGAGATGAATAAAATTATCTTACCTTCTCAACTTCTCCATTGTAGCTCAGAACTTAACATCGTTTTCCCTTGGAAAGTATAGCAAAACTGGAGAAACATTTTAAGAACAATTGTTAAAATAGTAAAAGAACAATTAAGTAACAACTAAGTTTTATTCTTTAGTGTTTAGCCTGTATATATCCCCTTCTGCTCTTACATTTATGCTAACACAAAATTTCTTAACCTCAGCTCATTCCCATAGCAACCAGGCAGCTGGGACAGGCCACAGCTGCATAAAATCAATAAATAAATATGTGGTACACACGTGCACACACACGTGT